AACAGGTATACTATTTAAGTTCATTCATTTTAATCAATAAAATAATAAAATTGTTAGACATGAACTAATAATCATCTTTTTTCATTTTTCAATTTGAAGAAGATTCAATTCTTCATCGTCTTCTCACGAAACAAATCACACATCTTACTATTTGTATTGAAAATGAGATGATACCAACATTTTCGAAAACTTTATCAAATGTATTTGTATTAATTTTATCTTCATGTAAACGATTAATCAATTTGGATTTTCGTCAATTATTTCCAAATAAAATGATGTCGGTTAATACGTTTGTTCAATCATCAACAAATTGTACGTCTTTAAGTTTAACTCAATTGAAAATTAATGTCAAAACTTTTGATACTTGTCTTTATCTTCTTGATGGACGTCTTCGTAATTTATCGACTTTAATTATTAATGTATCAAATATTTCTCATACATTATCAAATACAAATAAAATGGTAAGTATATTTTCAATCATTGTATATTTAAAGAAAAAATGCTCCACTATATAGATAGAGATTTTTAATTTTGTTTTTATTTATAGAAAAGACTTCCCAAATTGAAATGTTTTTCATTGATTTCGTTTGATGATACATATCATTATGATGATGAAATTATTCCATTACTCTATCGTATGATAAATCTTGAAGAATTGATATTATCTTTATCAATAATACGAGTTGACTTACCTTATATTGATGGTACACATTTATACGATGAAATTCAGATGCATATGCCACGATTAAATAAATTAATTTTTAGTATAAATACAGCTGTTACTAAAAAGAACATTAATATTAATTTTCCATCTAAAGAAGATCTTCAACGTAGTTTTATCGATAGAGGATATCAACAAGTTGGTGTATATGTCGATTCTACAGAAACGAAAGATGAAGGAAGATGTCATATTTATTCACTTCCATATCAATTTGAAAATTTTCTTCATCTTAACAATTCTTTTCAAGGTGGCATGTTTAATAAAGTTCGGTATTTAACTATGACTGATGGACGTCCTTTTGAACATGAATTATTTAAAATTATCTCACAGGATTTTCCTTTTCTCAAAACTTTATCTATATGCAATAAAGAACCACAAAAAAATAAGCAACATTCGTCAACATTGATTACATTCTCTCATCTTATTGCTCTCAATCTGACTCAAGCACATATGATCTATGGTAAACAGTTTCTTTTGGAAAAAAATACTCATCTACCTTGTTTGTCAAGTCTTAACATCAGATACAAAACACTTACAAAAGTAACAAAGAACTTTACCAACAATGCAGCACGTCTTACTTGTAGCAAATTGAAATACCTTCATACGTATGGATTTGATAATCTTCCATCGAATTTTCATCAATATTTTTCTTCATTAATAAATTATTCTTGTTACAGTTTTTAATAAAAGAAAATATTTTGTGAAATTAAAATACATCGATGAAGCTGATCAAGTAAAATAAATCATGGTAATACGACAAAATATTCTTTAATCTAAGCTATACTTCTACAAGAGTACTTTTATTATTATTGTACGGTTTAAAGAATATTAGAAATAAAAATAATATCAGTTTGATTAACAAACAGCATTTTTCTTATTTGAATCAGAAATCATTTGAAAGAAAAATATTTTATAGTTTCTAAGACAAAAAACGTTTTTTTTCTGGATATTAGTCACACGTTTAGTGACAACCAATGACAGATTACAAAGTAAATTAATTGTCTGAGAAATAAAAGTAAAAAATTACAAATACATGTTTTTCTTTGACACTCGAAGCAACAATAGTCTTACAAAGAATAAAAATGAATAGAAAAAAAGAGTTTAAATTATTTTTGTAGCTTCAAATTCGATTAAAAGAAAATAGTTTTGATAGAAGTCATATAAATATCAACAATAATTGACATTCATTGCTTTGTAATACTGCTATACTAAATATAATTCGATATATATATATTCAACTTAGTAAAATGAAATAATGCATGCAACAATCTATTGCTGGATTATCAGTCTTTAATAGTTCCTAATTTTATCGAATAAAAAACCATTGAGATAAATGCTTTAAAAGACAAACATAATAATAATTATTTCTGACAGCCCTATTGTATGCAAATTCTTGGTGTATTAATATTTATTAGATATTCACAAAGAAACTTATTCAATTCTCTCTGATCTTCTTGCAAAGATTTTAATTAGACAAGGTAAATCTTGGACATGGGCTCTTTTAGCAGGTTATTTTAGTTTAACTGGTTATCAAGTTACAGTAAGTTGTTACAACGCCTATTTGAGTGCGGGTGTAGTTTTGGTTGTCTTCTTTGGATCCACACCTACTAACTTTGTTAGGCCTACCTACTATAAAAATATCAGTCAAATCGATGGCATTCATCGTGCAATGCCTCTTAGGAAAACTCATAAGTGTTATCAGATATCTTGTTGCAATAGAACTGGTCAGTATATTCACGTTCTTGGGAAGAGCAGGTAAATGGCTTCAGCTGGTATACAGTGCTATCTCGCGAGCTGTGCAACTGAAGCTGTCACAAACCTAGTGAGTATCATAAATCAGCTCATTTACACCTGCGCACACACTCTCTCAGTCTTGTATCGAATGCAGCATTAGCAAACATTTTTTGAAACTAGTTACTTGTCATCTATTCACTTTGGTTCGCCGGAAATGCTAAACAACTGACTTTTTGCGTCAGTCATCTTTGCTTACTCTTTCTTGCGTTCGTATGTTGTTATGAAAACAGAAAAGGTTTCAAGTATGATGTGATTTTTTCCATGCAAATGAAAAAAAAACAAAGAGTCATTAGTAGGTGTAACATTCTTTGTGTCAACAACAAATTTATTCAGTAATTTCGTCAGTTTTTTTGTACTTTTTGGCAATACGATACCGTAGTAGGTGAACACTAATCGTGAGTATTTCGAACAACGAGATAAATTGCTTTTATTGCTTCGAATATTATTTGAGGCATTTTAAAAATACTGAACTATGAAACAATACAGAATGCTACGTCAATTCCAATTACTAACAGTCTTATACTACTTTTCCAGGTACATCTATTTCTTTTAATGCATAAAATACGACCAAAACAGAGTACATCAATGATGTTTTGATTGAAAACGTCCAATAGTCTATACTATGAAAAAATGTTTCCAGAAGTCATTAAAGATCTTTGCGACGAATCGAATCTGTACTGCGGAATATAAAAAAATTGTTTTGTTCTGAAAAACCTGTCAAAATGACGAGAAAATACTGATTTGAAGGCATTCAAAAATGAAATCAACCGATGTTTGCGTTAACATGGGTGTTGATGTCATTTTCTCTTTAGCTGCCCGAATCCACGCAACAATCATATCCACATTCATCAAACCATTCACACCCGCACACATCCTAGCTTTACATAATATTCGAAACTCAGCTCACAAGAAAATTCATAATAATCTTGTTCAGGATTTCGAAAAATCTACTCTTTTAAGCGAACAAATAAGATATTTGTTCGATAGATGTAATACATATTGTTTCTTTTCTTGTCTCCTCTATTTTTCGCTATTTCTCTTTCTTATTCTTTGATCTATCTTACTTCACTTGGGTTATTTCCAATTTCAAGGAGCTCAGAGAACACCATTTGTTTTTTCCCAACTCTATCCAGGTAGAAATATACCAAGAAATAATCGACTTTCCTCTTCTCTCCTTTTTTTTCGTATATAGATGCCCGTGTTTACTTTAATAAACTGGATTATGAGTCTTCAAAGAAACGAACTGAAGGACACAACAAAGAAACCATGATTCCACAGTAGAATAACCCATTCTACCCTAACGTGTTTGAGTTATCCTCTAGTCCAGCTTCGTTATTTTCAATTTTGGATTTTTTTCTTTGTATAGTTGATCTTCCTCAATACAGGTTTGAGTTTCGCTAGTTTACTTTTAGTTTTTCATATATAGTATTAACACAATCTTCATTGAAATTGAAATGGTATAAGATGAGTTAAATATCAAAACAATTCATTTTAAAACAACAAATTATAACAACTGTATGATATTTATCGAACAATTTCTCTATATAAACATTCGTCCATATGTCATGTTTTGATTATACAACTATGACTCGTAAGCCGCCTCGTAAGTTCAGATTGTTGGCCTAAATATCTCCTTTATCAGTAGATATAGAGATGTGAAAATTTGGGATTATATTCGCCTAGTTACAAAGGGTTAGAAGTCAAAGTTTGAGCTTTTTCAGACTTTTATTATAAGCGAGAAAGAAAAACTTTTCTGAGAAGTACCAAGACGCTTGAATAGCCCTTTATTTCATACAGGCACTCACTACACTGAAAGTCTACGCTGGTGAAATCGACAGTCTATGAGTATTAAATCTTATTAATGTTTTACAACAAAAAACAGTAGCATTATGCGTAATCTCTCGCAAAACTCCTCATCCGATCACTCACGTACTATTTCATACAGACACTCATTACATTAAATCTCTCCTATAATAATATTGGTCTACTAGGAGCAGAACATCTCGCCAATGCTATACGACAAAATCAAGCAAATTTATCTCTTACTCTCTCCAATTTGCTTATCCTATCACTCACTCATTGTTTCCTGCAGATACTTACTGCACTGAATTTCTATGGCAACGAAATCGGCGATCAAGGATCGTTCCCCTTTTCTCAACCTTCTGTTTCTAACGGACATTTTCTATGGTCTACAGACACTAACTACACCCAACCTGTGCGGTAATCCAATCAGCTCCTGAATAGCATTCTTACGAGATAATATACTTAGTGATGATGAAGAATTTATCAGGAAAACAAGGTATGATGACTATCATTAAGTATACACCCTAATTTCGATCATGAACAATGATTCGTTGATTTATTCAGAGAAATGTGAGTGTGAATATAAATAACAGTCTCGTCTTTAACCACTCCCATACCACCTTCATAAAAATCCAACCAAAAGAGCAGTTACAAAAAAAAATTCTGGTTTGTTCGATTTTGATTATGCATTTCGAATGATGACGAGTTCAATTTCACCATCTCTTATCTAATAAAAAGGAATTTTATGTTTCATAAAGAATCAAATAGCACTTACAGGAAGCTTTTTAGCTGTAACTACATTGTTGTTATCTTTATTCATTAAATTAGTCAATGAAATAAACGGTTTTTTAAGAATAGCTTCAATGTCGTCTCGTCGTTCAGATGCAATACGAGCAATTTCACTTGTTTGTGGATCAACCGAATAATAAATTGTTATATCATCAGTTGAAATTAATTTAACCTTTAAAACCAAAGATAACTATTAATTAAAATTAATCATCAATATAAAAACCAAATATAACCTGTTTGCAGAGTTTTTGAACTTGACTTGTAATTTCATTAATAAGATCTTCATCTATTAATGATACATCCGCTGTACAATCAAGTAAAACAATAAACTATTTATAAAAATAACATATAATAAACTACAAGAAAAAAAGAAACGAAATAAATACATACTCCTTGTTCAGCAGTAGCTTCAAAACGTGTTTCTTGTCCTACACGATAAATAATATGAATATCTTCCCATTCAATTGGTACATCGTCAAGCATTGTTAATGGACTTTCATCTTGATTCTTCGATAAGAATTTTTCAATATCTGCATAAGATAGTCCACGGAGTTTTTCAGATATTTGTTTAACTTTAACTATTTATATTTTCATTTTTTTTTTGTAAATAAATATCAAAATACAACAAAAACGATACTCTTACTACCAAACTTTTTGCCTAATGTTGGATAGTTGGGTTCCACATGCATTTTAATATCATAAAGTTTATAATCTTGAGAATATATTACTTTACGTACATTTAAACCCTTTAAATAGTAAATATAAATAACAAAAAAATAAATAAAATTCAAAACAACATACTTCACGAATGAAATCTTCTAAGGATTCAATATTTTTTAATATGGATAGATCTTTATGAATAACAACTAATTCTGGTAATGGATACTAACAACAAGGCTTTTATGTTAAATATTTATCTAAGATAAGTCAATTAAATTTACTTTCATAGGAATAACTTTTCGTTCTCGTAGATGTCGACCTAATTTAGTAACTATTTGCATAACAGCTACAACACTTTCAATATTCTTATTTACTAATGAATGACTAAATAAATTTTTTTCACTTTTCTTTAATTAAAAGAAAAGAGAACCATAAAAAGAACAAACTTTGATTTTGGAATCATTTGAAAATGAACACTTAGTTCTTGTTCAGTATCAGATGCTGATTGTGGCATTAATTTTCTTAAAATTTGATACAAATATTCAGCAAAAAATGGTGTAAATGGTGCCATTAATTTAGCCATTATTAAAAGAATATAATAAAGAACATTTAATGAAACAAGACGATCTTCTACTGTTGTTTCACCCTAAATGAAAAATTAAATTGTTATCAATGTTATTACAAAAAAAAACAAAGAAGATCAATATTAATTTGCGATTTATAATAAGCAATATAGTTAGTCTTTCTAATTGATATAAAACTAATTGGTATAACGACGAAGGTAAGATAAGTCTTGATTACCTTAAAACGTTTGTTGTTCAATATAACATACCAATTAGTTAACATATCAATATATTTAACAAGACGAGGCACCACCGTATACAAACGATAAACTAAATATTGAAATTCTTTACAAAGTATACTTATTTTGAATAAAAACATTACTTTATGGCTACAATTACAAGTACAAAGATTTGTACTGAAAAATCATATATTGAATACATGCCAAGATTATCTTTGAATTTATCAATTACTCAAATACAAACGACGTCTCATTCATAGTGTAGAGGCTATTAACTCTTTATGATTATTAAACGATTCGAATATTTGAGTTGTCGACTTTTCCATTTGTGGTACTCATATCGAGTGCTATGGCTGTGTCTATATCACGGTTTTCAACTGTTTCGGTAATAAAAATGAACTCGAAATCCACAAATTTTCAATCCATATTATACCAATCAATTATCCCCTGACAAAAATTGTATATTCAATCTATTACATGAGTGAAGTCCAGAGATTCATAGAAGATCTAAAAATCTCCGATGATTTCTTCAGAGCTCATGAAGATGTTCTATTGGTCTCTGAAAATTTCTCGAGATGTTTGATGAGATTCGAAAGATATCTTGTCACCCTTGGAGACCCTTTAGGATATTTGAATAGACTTCTGCGTGACCACGTTTTTTCAGTCACGTCACGTCACGGTCACGAGCTGCCTGGTCACGGTCACGTTCATAGTCACGGAGGTTTTTTGAAACTAGTCACGATCACGTCACGGTCACGAGCTGCCTGGTCACGATCACGGTCATAGTCACGAAAATTTTTCGAAACTAGTCACGGTCACGTCACGGTCACGGAAATTTTGGATTACTAGCTGGATTTTTGTGCTACAAAATCAAGATTTATATTGATTTCACATATTTTCTCTGTAAAAAACGCAGAAAACACGTAAATCAATTAAAATCTTGATTTTTTTTTCACAAAAATTAGATTTCTAATCTCAAAATTTTTCACCATTAAGTCACGATCACGAGCTATTTGGTCACGATCATGAGCTATTTGGTCACGGTCACGAGCTATTTGGTCACGGTCACGATCCCAGTCACGACAATTTTTCGAAAACTAGTCACGAGAGGCCGTGACCGTGACCGTGACCGTGACCGTGACCGTGACCGTGACCGTGACCGTGACCATTTTGCAGAAGTCTATATTTGAAGGTGTCGTTGAAATCAAAAGTTAAAAACTTGAAATATTCGAATTATAAATTTTAATATTTCAACGGTCGTAGGAGTTGTTCAAATTCGAAATGTATGGTTTTCAGCTTATTTGAATGAAATATTATATTTTTTACATCTATTAATCGAGTTTCCAATTTTTTGGAAATAATTTGCTTTATCAATGACGACAACTGAAACTTACCGTTCATTTCTTGTTTAACAAATTCAAGGAATGTTTGTGTATAAGATACAATCCATTTATCAAGAACACTTGGATTTGATGACATTGATGTATAGAAACATTTTTCATTATAAATAAATTCAATTTTTTCGTCACTTTTTAATTGATCACATGATTGAATAAGAAGACGTAGTGTCTTATACCAAGGTAAAAACACATTTTTAAGAATATCGTCAATACCTTCTTCTTTAAATCTGAGTGATTCACCGCGTACGACCGGCGATGTTAGTAAATAAAGCCTATATTAAAAAATAAAACATATAAAATTTCTACAAGTAAAATAAACTTAACCTAAGCGCATCCGCGCCATAGACGTCGAAAATTTTCTTTGGATCAGGATGATCCAGTTTTCTGCCACACATTTTTTCTTGCTGACGTGCTAAAATAATTCCATTAACAATGACATTTTTGAATGATGGTTGATCAAATAAAGCCGTTGAAATAACTAATAATGTATAAAACCATCCGCGTGTTTGGTCAATACCTTCAGCAATAAAATCAGCTGGAAATGTGTCCATAAATGTATGACGTGTCTCAAATGGATAATGAACTTGTGCATACGGCATAGAACCAGATTCAAACCAAGAATCGAATACTTCAGGTATTCGACGTAATAAACCTTTACCTAATCGAGATGGAATTGTGATTTCATCAACACTAAAATAATTATTATGTTTTAATAAATAACTTAAATGAAAAAAAAATCTTCATTTACAATTCTCGATGAATATCATCAACAGATATTCCAGATAATTGTTTTAATTCTTCAATTGAACCAACACAAACAATTTCATGTCCATCATCACTAATCCATAATGGAATCGGAGTTCCCCAATAACGATTTCGTGAAATAGCCCAATCGCGTGCATCACGAAGCCAATTAGCAAAACGTTTTTCTTTAACAAAGTCAGGTACCCTATCAGATACATATGACAAAAAAAATAACATGTGATTCTCTATTTCTTACCAATTTATTTTACTATTATTAGCTAATAAACGATTAACCATTCCTTCAACACGAATAAACCACGATGGAACAGCACGATATATTAATGGTGTGTTACTTCTCAAACAAAATGGATATGAATGTTTGAATACGGATTGATGAACAAGTCTTTTAGCTTCTTTTAAATCTTTTATAATAGATTTATCAGCAATTTTTACATTTTGTCCTTCAAAATCTTTAACTTCATTAGTAAATCGACATTGTGCATCGATTGGACAAACAATAGGTCCTGTATGTTTATTAATAACACCATTGGCAAGACAAACACGATAATCGTCTTCTCCAAAATAGGGAGCTTGATGAACAACACCTGTACCACTATCTTCTGTTACATAATCATCACACAATACACGAAATGCTGTTTTTACCTATTCAATTAAAACAAGTCATCAATAAAAAGAAAAGCAAAAAGAATCTGACATTAGCAAAATACGGAAATAATGGTATATAATGTTTTCCTTGCAATTGAGATCCTTGGAAACTATTTAGATTAAAAAAAAACAAATCACATTCAGAGATGAATTTTCATTGAACGTACCTTTCTAATATTTCATAATTATCAGGCTTTTTATAAAGTTCATCTAATCGTTTTTTCATTAGAATAAAAATTTCATTCTTTGTTTTATCTAACGAATAAAGAACAAATATAATTTTTTTTTCTATTTTATCTCATATCAACAATACCAAGAATTTTAACATAAACTGAATTAGCATTAACACAAAGTGCAAGATTAGATGGTAATGTCCATGGAGTTGTTGTCCAAGCAACAAGTTTAACAGTTGAATCATCAACAAGTGAAAATGATATCCAAACAGCTGGATCATCAATATCTTTATAATTTAGAGTCGCTTCAAAATTGGATAATGGAGTGCAACAATCCATTGAATATGGCATTACCTTAAGAATATCTTTTTATTCTTAAGTTTTAAAATATATTCTCGATTCAAACTTTAAAATCATAATAAACAAAACCTTTTTCATATAATTGTTTAAAAATAAACCAAACTGATTCCATATACCATGGATACATTGTTTTATAATCTCGTTGAAAATCAATCCATCGACCCATACGATTCACAACATCCTTTTTTTATTTAAAATTATTTTGAAATCTTTTTTATTCTTAACAAGAAGACATACTTCCCATTCTTGAGCATATTGCATAACAAATTGTCGACAGTAATTGTTATAAGCAGCAATACCAATTTTAGCGACATCATCAGGACCTTTTATATTAAGTATTTTATCGATTTTATATTCCTAATTAGTCAATTATATAATAAATTTAGAATGATAACAAGAGGAAAGCAAGAATAATAAATCATACCAGTGCTAGACCGTGACAATCTAATAACAAAAGAACGCATGTATGTTATGAAAATCAAAAGTAATAAGTGATGTTTACCCCAACCAAATCGACGTTCAACATGATGCCCTGTTTGATAAGCCCATCGAGTAAGGGCATCTTTAATTGTTCCCGTTAAAATATGTCCATAATGCGGAGGACCAGTAACAAATGGTGGACCATCATAGAATATACATCTTTACAAAAATAATTTCTTTAGGTATTTTTAGAAGTTTTCTTTTTCGCTTTACTTTGGTCGGTCCTTGGATAATCTATTACTTATTTCGAATGCATTGATTTGCTTCCAAAAAGCTAAAATATTGGTTTCATTACTTCCGAATTGAAGTGTTTCATGGGATACAGAAAACTCAATTGGAGTAGACTGCGTTGTCTTTGTTTCTGTAATCGTGGCCATGTTTTAAGTTTAATAAAAGCAATTTGTTTACTTAGACTTGAACTAATTCATCATTTAAATATAAATGTTAGAGGTGTCGTATGATTCAGCAATCCTCCCTTATATTGCATTTGAGCTGTTGCAATTTACCAACCATTCGAAACATTTTTTTTGCGTCCTTCATATGACAGGTGTCGGTATAAGGATGTGTGTATGTATCTAAGTATTAGCATCACTCTAGCCAGTTTGTCTATGGTATTGCAGTAACTCTAGTAGATTGGGCTTAACAGAAATAGACTTTGCTAGAGCATAGAAATTTGATTTCATGCAGACTGTTGCGCGACCCAGTTATTAATTAAATAGCTAAAGGAAAAGTCTGAATTTGATTCTTTCATCAGAGCAAAGGTTTTGCAGCAAAATAATAATTTTTTAATGAAATCAAGTAAAATGGATCCTCAAAAACCTTCGATCGAACTTTATAAAGGCACTAGTGTATGATGTGGGTGTGAAGAATGGATAACACCCACACCTTCCATAGTTGAGTGGGACAACAATAAGAATAAAAAAAAAATCAGATTCTGTGTCTTCAACATTATGCAGATAACACTAGTACTGTAACAACAGTATTATGATAAAAACCATAGTAAACTTGTAAAATAAAATTTGTCTTCAAACGAAATTATGAGAAAAATACTAACCACATTTCCATCTAACCATATTTATTGATACTCGAACCAACAGTATTATCAGCACATGCATTTTACGAAGCAGTGATTAAAAAGACGAAATCGACCAAACCTATCCTATGGTCTGAAGATTGCAGTGTTGAGCATCAATTTTAAGACCGATAGGTCGAAGTTCGATAGTCTCTAACATCGTATAGATTGGTCGTGAATGAAAGATTTTCAGTTATTGGAGAACGTACAATTGCCTCGCTTTGACAGTCTGTCCATTAGACTTGTGTCTATCTGAGACAATCATAAGTTCTGATTTTCAAGTCTATCATAGTTGATGTAGGTCACCTATCTGTCGGATTTTTCATAAATTTTCAATTATAGAAACTTGGTTTTTTGAACAACAAATGTAAGTATACCAATAAACAGTCGAGTCATTTTGCCACCAGAAGGTGAAAAATGTTATTTTTCATCATAACTTTGACTTAAAAACAACTATAACTGAAGATACAATGTGATAAAATTGTTTGTTCTTTATTAATTTATTGAGTCAATGCATCCGTTCCGATAAGTTTTAGGAAAAGAATCTTTTGCTTCTGTTCAAGGATCATCGCAGTACAAGTACGTGAAAAAACTAGAGACCATTGCAAATGAAATCAGACAGCAGACAGACTGCTTCGGACCAGTGTGGGCATGAATATATTCCTCATTCAAATGCTTGAAACACAAATACTTTCATGGATGTGAGTGTGTGTGGGTGCGAAAAAAGAGGATTTCTATACCTACACTCACGTATCCACACCCACACCCTCTAGAGTGTTTGTCATCGACAAAAAACATTCATCGATTGTCCAAAGCTATTTCTTGTTACAAATACATTTTGATGAGTCGCTTTAAGCTCTCTTTCTCTCTTCTTATGTATCCGTCTGTGAGTCTCAAGATATTGACGCAAATCTGAAGAAAACCAAAATATCATAATATTTTTAACGAGCACTTAGTCAGGACGCATTGATAGACGGGCTAAGTATTCTGACCAACCATTTTACGAATCCTATGAGGGTTTGAATATGTTACTGGCACTCTTATAAAGGTGAGTATGGGTGTTACCGTGTCAGCGGATGAAACTTTAATATTCCATAAAATATAGATTAACTCTAATTATATAAGGAATCTACTAATGCCAAAGTCATAGATTACCAATTATAATTTATTAAAACGTAACAACAAGAAGATCGTAAAATAAAAAAGGTTTATCCGTTTTTTGTTAACTCATTTTTGTCTATAGCATGATATTCAAAAAGGAACGAATTCATTTAGTTGCTATAGAAATTAATCGATTTTTATGTACAGGATAATCTGCAAAACGGATCAATTTTGTTTTTCTCCTAAAATTGATTCATTTCTTTGGTGAACGAAAGAGAAGATCATTGTTTGCATACTTTGATCATTATCTTTATCTTGATTGATGGAAGAGGTATTGGGAGATGATATCCTTTAGTCCATGTTAAAGGCTGACGTTCAGGAGAAGTAAACCTTGTCGAATGAGATTGATGGCATCACCTACTCCTACACCATCTAATAATCGAAGAATTTTGATTTGATCGACGAATAATTTGTCTTTGTTTTCTTTAAATTGGTTTTATAAATTTAGGTGTGCGACAATTTTCCTTATTATTGCAACTAATGTTATTTTTTTAATTATATATTGATTCTTCGTATTCAGTATCATAATGAAACAGATATACGAATAGTTTTTGTTTAATTGTCCATCAATTAGATTGAAGTAACAACTCGATATGGAATCGATTTCCATTGTCGAATATTTGATATTAAAATCATCGTTGCTGACTTTGACATTGGTATTAGAGAAATCTTATACAAAAAATATCGATATATGTAATACAGTTTTTTTAGTTTTACAAAACTAATTTCGTTATTTAACGAAGTATATATTTCCTTTTGAGTATTTCTTAATAATTAAGTTGATGTTGAAATGAAATCTTCATTCTAAAATTTATGTGGTAAAAATGTCTGTGTGTGACTTTGAAAAAGGTGATCTAATATTAATGAACCCTTTTTGAAAATAAAAGAAATTGTTGGTCGATAATTAATATTTATCAATGATCTATAAGAAAAAAGCTTCTTTGAAGTTTCGAATTAAAAATATCTGCTTATTCAATTAATTGATTTTTCTTGAATTTTTCATTAATTTATATAATCTGAAAAATAATGTCAATATATATGAGAAAACTAATTTTACCAATAAATTATTACTGTTGCGTTTGTGATAAAATTTCTCGAGTGTTGTAATAAAATGAAATTTGTTTGGTGATGTAACCTATAGTTCAAGATTTAGATCGTTTTTTGTTGACTTGACCAGTGTAAGTGTGGTTTTTCGACTCACTCACATCCCACTAACGCTCACAATCGCACCAATATCTCATTTTCTACCAGCTGCACAAGCATACAGACTACTGTCTCAATTTCTCTTTAGACTGTTATCTTTTGCATTGTGTTTATGATGTTTGTTTCTTTCTTTCTTTACCATCCTGATATCATATCGTATATTTCAAGGACCTCTTGATAATATCATTAGAAGCAAGCTTTCGAAATAGTGAAACATTTTCAACTATTTAGATTGCTTCTCATATTATGTTTAGAGACTAATTGGTTATTGTGATGTTCAATGTTTTGCATTTGACAAATATGAAACTTTATAGTCTTACTAATATCGTCTTCACAATCAAAGATCGAAAATTAGATCGATGTGTTTCTTATGAACTGAAATATTGTCTGACATGATTTGTATGAGTGCCTTAATAAAACAGATTATCGAAGAAATTTTGATATATCAGTTCAACTCACCATCACTTATTGGACACAACGATGATTAAATGGTCACCAAACAATATAGCAAGACGGATTTGAGTTACTGTGTATGATTTTTCAGTGAAATACAGATTGTAAATCATTCGTTTATTGTCATTTATGGTTGTAAAATGCACCATTTTCATTGACTCAGGCTCACAAGTAATATGATCAATGTGAACATATTTCTCGTATATGAATAGAACGAAATTCATTGTGTTTAAAATTTTAATCTTCCAGGAGTTACGTTGAAAGCTTTTTATTTTCAGATAGAGTCATTGTACAACTAGCTCTTGAGTAATTTACGTGTCATTGTATCGTTTCTTAATCAAATAAATGTTTGACACTTCCAGCGAAAACTCTGTTCCTCGTTTTGAAGAACAAATAAAGACAAGTCCTGTATCGATTCGTTCGTATCTTGGTCGTCTCATTCTACGAACTCACGAAGATTGTGATACTTCAAGTTTGGTATCAATTTTTTGTGATCCCATCAACATGAAACATCTATCCTTTCTGCAACCACCAAAAGGTTGGGGAGATGACGAAGAACGAAAAAAGAACCGACAATGGACTGAACAGGACATGATTGACAGAGTCAACTTACAAAAAGACACACGATCTCAAGGAAAGAGCTGTATATTCAATATTATTTTATTAGCTTCTGCTACTGGTGAAAAAGTAGATCGTTGTATTGGTGGGGTAGGTTTTGCAATGATCGATGGTGACACCGGCCATTTAGGTATTACGCTCGATCGAAGTGCAACTCGAAAGGGATACGCCACAGAAGCTCTGTATACGTCGATTGTTTTTGCATTTGAAAAGTTAGGCATCAATAAAATAATTATAGAGACTGATAATAACAATGAAGAAATGCGAGGATGGTGTGAAAGAACAGCTGGATTGAAATTAACCGAAAAGAAAGAGGTGCAAATCAATGGATACACTGTTACAGAATGTCAATATGAATTTACTGATCAGGTATGGGAAAACGTCGTAAGGAAAAATTTGGAAATCAAAATGAAGAACATTTTAATGCGAGACCAATTACATTAAAGTGTCGATTAATTGATATAACCAATGACTGCAATATTTCATCTTTGTCTCTCTTTATATAAGACACTGAATTCATTGATCCATATTTAACAAGAAGTCATTATCACGTTTGAAAGAACTGGCTTAATTCTCACGAGTGTTCTTCTAATGCTGTAGCTACTGAAAAATCATGTAGAAACTAAAAAAGACACTATTACAATGATGACTAAATTTATTCGTAGTGCATGTGTAAGAAAAATTCTGTTTTCTATTTTGGAGTGTGGGTGGATGTGCCTTTAAGGTCCTCTAGACTTTCAAGAGAATAAACCGTCTCACATTGATCACCATAGTCGGAAGCTTAGATTTCGAATAATTATTTTCTTTTTTTTTGCAGCGAAAATTGTCTTACGTGTACGCGCTCTCTTAAAAAATCTCTAGTGTCTTGAG